TGGGGGGCAAGCCCTCCTCCCCTTGGCCGCCGCCCCCCCTCTAGATCTCATCTAGAGGGGGCCGGCCCCCTTCCCCCTTCCCCTATAAATAGAGGGGTGAGGGGATGGCTGCACACAACATCCAAGGCGCAGCCCCTCCCCTCCCCAACACCTCTCCTCCTCCATAAGAGCTTGGCGAAGCCCTGCCGGAGTACTGCAGCTTCATCACCACCACGCCGTCGTGCTGCTGTTGGAGCCCTCTTCCTCAACCTCTCCCTCCTCCTTGCTGGATCAAGGCGCGAGAGACGTCCTCGCTTCGTACGTGTGTTGAACGCGGAGGTGCCGTCCGTTCGGCGCTAGGATCTTCAGTGATTTGGATCACGTCGAGTACGAATCCATCAACCCCGTTCTCTTGAACGCTTCCGCTCGTGATCTACAAGGGTATGTAGATGCACTCCTCTCTCCCTCGTTGCTAGATGACTCCATAGATTGATCTTGGTGATGTGTAGAAAATTTTGAAATTCTGCTACGTTCCCCAACAGGTGGATGGCAGGTGGGGTAGCGCGGGCATGCAGCGGACAGTGGAGGACAAGAGGGAGGCAGAAAACATCCGCTTTGTGTCCGCTTTGGACCCAAATCAGTCCCAAATTTGAGTTGGAAATGGGTCCGCGCGGACATAAAGCGGACGCAAAATGAAAATGGGTCTGTGCGTTGGACCATTGTTTTGTCCGCGCCGACCCAAACGAACAACGGCGAACGAAATGGGTCGCTCCATTGAAGTTACTCTAAGTAACCAATCAACCTTTAGCCAGCCACCGGTTGCTACCTGATTGGATCGCCGTCCATCCCACCGAAGTGCACACATCTGATGATAAAAATGTGATCGCCATCAACACGTCCATCTCCCTCCAAGCGTTGGGTTGGGTCCCTTCAAGATCTATGGCGATCCAGTATGAGTCGAAGAATGTCCATCGGTACTCGGCTGTGAAACGCGTGAGCCTTGAATAACGAGAGAATTGATTATAACCCCCCCC